GCTTGATTGTCGCATTCTCATCCGTCTTGCTGACTACGGTTTAGGATCCGACATGTGAAACGTTCTTGTCCACTGCTTCTTTTCTAGGACACAATTTACCTCATGCAATGGTAAAACGTTATCTTCTTCCTATGTTAACTCTCATGTCTTCAAGGCCGCCATTTTGTCTCCCTTCTTTTTTCCTTGTACTTAAACCACCTGCCTCTCCCTACCAACTTTATTGCCTGTAAGTACGCCGACGATGTGGTGATTGGGTGCCCCTCCAATACTGATGCTTCTTTCCACCAACTTCAAAGCAGTCTGAACGACTTTTTGAGTTGGTCTCTGCCCCGATCACTCTTGGTTAATGTCTCCAAATGTGTCGACGTTCCCTTCAGTCTTAAATCTCATTCCCGCTATCAAACTACCTTTAATAATTTACCGGATCTAGTAGTTAACAGCTGACTGTTAAATACCTCGGAATCTTTTGATCCCACAACCTCTCTTGGACCTTAAATGTAGAGAACGTTTACAACAANTAAGCTCTCTTTTTATGGTTTCAGGCTTCGGAAGCTTGCTGTTTCTCCAAACGTAATTTTGAAATTCGTGGTAGCGTGCATTTTCCCCCATTGGCTCTACTGTTCCCGTTTTTTCCCGGTTTAAAAGAAAAAGATTTTGTATTAATTTCCAGGTGTATTATACTCCTTTCTCGATGTAGCGGCATAGCCAGGGAAGTTCTGGTTGATTTTACTGTGCGCAAACATATCGACGCATTTGAAAGAATAGCTGACCGAATCTTGAAAAACGAAGATCACTGTTTGCACAAAGAACCTACTAAATCCATGTCAAACCCCCGCACCCGCTCTCATTATAGGCTGCTTCCCGCACGCACCGTCGCATGCAGAAACAGCATCCTCCCTTTTCTTGCTCGCTTTCTAGTAAATCGGGCACCTATTATTACAGGTTTGGTGGAACACCTCATGAGTTAGTTTGTTTATTCATCTTTTATCCGTCACTATCGTCTTCCTGTATTCACTTTTCTGTCGCTTTTTAATTAACCTATTCACACCCGGAGGCCATCCACCGCAATTCCACTGTATTATCGTGAAAATTCCCTGAAAATTCACCCTACGGGTGCAATAAAGCTTACTTTGACTTGAAAAAAATGCAATATCGCCCCTTGGGTACGTAGCACTCCATGATACTTGGTCACTTGGTTGTTGTTGACCGATGTCCGGGTTGGTCACCTAGTGTGCCACACACTTGACACTGTTCACTGGTTGGATAACCCTTGTAAGGGAAACATATGGATGCCATCAACCCGAGACATGACAAAGTGAGTGCGTCTATCTCTCAGAGAGAAAGAAGGATGTGTTGGAAATCCTGAAGCAGCCAGATGCAACTCAGAGCTATATATATAATCTTGATCCGAACAGGTTTTCCTGCAATACGGTGCAGATAGTCGAATGTTTACACCGCCAATGCCAGAGCTGTTTGCGATCGCAAGAGCAGCCTCACTGATGGGAACGAAATTCCATTATTCGATAAGCAACGTCTCAATAATGTGGCTGCGAAAACCGATGAACGGTGAACGCGATTGACCTATGTATGCAGTTGGCAGGCGGAGGAATGAAGTAAAATGTTGGATCTCCAATCAATCGATAACCGTTGCGATGCTGAAGCGTCTGTATGAATGGGTTGTCATTTGCTAGGGTGCCAATGAAATTGGACAGCACACTGACCGAAGGTCATCATAACAATTATGCTCTACTGGTCTACTGTTTTCTTGTGTGTGATTTACTTCTCCCTCATGCACAGTGTGTTGATCTTAATCAGTCACTAGGATCATGAATAAGAACAGCGGAATTGGTGTCGACCAGTGCCGATCATGACGACTGTATCGATCGGATTTACTGTGCGACGCGAACAACAAAAGCGAAAGAACGGACACCATAGTATACATTGTTTTCACAATTAACTCCCAGTTACTGGTGAGTAGTGGTATAGGATGATTGATTGATTAGAACTAACCATCTTTTCGACTTCACCTTCAACCACAGTCTTCAGCTCTCCCAGTCAACCATACAATCGTATGCACCATAGACTCGAGTTTCGCTCTTATAAGAGCTCATCAGTAGTGCGTATACATCATCAAGTCCGGGATTTGAACTCCGGATCCATCGTATGGAAGGTGTTACCACTGTGCCAACCAGCTAATGCCAGGAGTGAACCGAATTGCCAACTCATGTTTGTTCAGATGTCGTCCTCTGGGCTGGTTGGCAGAGTGGTAATATACACCTACCACTCGATGGGTTCAGATTTCAAAGCCCGGATGGGACGGGGGATATGTACCACTGATGAGCTCCAATAAGAGCGAAACTTGAGTCTCGTGTTTTCGAGTGTATGGTTGACTAGGTGCACCGAGGATTATGCTTGAAGGTGAAGTCTGAAGGATGACTAGTTCCAATCCGTATTGATTATCCTACACCACTACTACTCACAAGTAACTGTGAATCAAATGTGAACAAAACTTCCACTGTGAGCATTTCTTCAGACTAGCAATGGGTTTGCGGTTAGCCAATTACGGTAGCAGATACACGCGATTCGCAAGTGGTGCTGAAGCGAGCACACAAACTTCGGACAGGGGGATTCCTCCAGTCACCGAATGCAGAAATGAGTCCGATTGATCCTCGGGCGATTCAAGACGCAAAAAGGCAAGGTTCCTTATAAGAAGCAACGGTATCATTCATTCGTCGAAGTGAAACAAGAACGTTTTTGTCACAAAATAATCGATCACAGTAGAGAAATTGGCTCTTGTTGCGAAAAAGAAAGATCATCATCAATTTTACAGTCTACGTGATCCCCGCGGATGTCCGACTCCTTACACACGATCCACGAGAAAATATTCGACTGGCAAAACGCGATCAGCACGGACGTGGTACAGGGGGCTTCAAGCGATTTTCAACTGACAGGTGTAACCAGGTACAGATGAAGGCATAGGAAAACAATTGAAAAGGGCCCAAAGAAAACAGTCCCGGGATCCGGTTGAACAATGCTCACGTGCACGCTGAGCGAGAGAGAGAGAGGTGAGTGAGACAGATCATGTGATCGGACGACCAGTCGGACCGAAAAATCGATGACGGCATAGGGGACAAGCTGGATTGTGACTGGTCGTGAACCAACGATACATACAGGCGTAGTGGAACAGTTTGCGACACGTGTGACATTGCATTTTGGGCAGGGAGAAATTGGTATTGTGCACGACCGAATAACAAATGGCACATTCCTCGACACCTTCGAATTTTTTCCGAACATTCTTTTGCCACAAATCGATCCCGTCCAAAATGGATCCGTTCTAGTGGGAAGCAGAAGAGAAGGATTGTGAAACAAAAAGGTAATCGAAAGAACCAGAGCACACGAAGAACAGAGATAAAAGTGAGTAAAGAAGTTATCTTGAACATACAATAAAAACAGTGCGGCAATCTTATTGATAGTTGTGACAAGCTGTTGATGGGTGGTAGTGGCACAGTGGATTGGCCGCTTTCACCGGCGTGTTTTCAACCCTATGGTTCGAGCCCCGACACCACCCAACTTTAGTGGTAGGCAGCTGTGCTTTCGTNGGGGGGGGCTTATGTGGTTCGCCACTCCAAGTCCCGGGGCTAAGGTTACCGGTCTCCATCATTGAACAGTAGGTCCTCGTGACTGAGGCTTTTCCCGTCTGCTGTTCATCACACAAAAGTCTGTAACAAAAAAGCTGTTCATGTGCAATGGAACCAGAAATGCCTGCCTGTCTGCCAGGAACAGCTCACCGCCGCAAACGCATGGGATACGCTGTGTGTGTTGGAGCTAAAACTTCTTCGTTTTAACTCGTGAAACTAAAAATGCGATTAGTGCATTTTGAAAAATGACCACCTTGTCTTGTGTCTTGTGATTGATAGCTACACTGTTTTGAAGGAGCGAACCACTTGAGTCACTGGATCCGTTTTGGAGACGAGGAAAATCGGGTCAGAGAACAGGATTCGGTGCAGGTCGAAATAGCTACGACTGGTCGATTGGTCACAAGGTCGCGAAGGTTATTACTGCGGCCACAGCCATCGATTAAGGCAGGAATTCGAACAACCAAGGGAATTCGGACCGCTAATCCGGTGCAATAACTATCGCACCGGATTCGTTGGATTTCTTCCACAATCCCTGTCAGGGATGGGTCTGGTTAGCTGCTTGTACATGGAATAACTATTCTTTTCATACATCCAGTTTCCTTCATAAAATTCCATAAGAGCGAGAACAAGCAGGACAGGTTGAATTCAACTGTTTCACGTTATCTCTTCAGGTGAGTACAAACATTCATGTGAAAGTTCGATCAGGACAATGACGAATCTTTAGAGATCAAAAACACTCGACCAGGCGAAATCAGTGCGAAGGTCAAATTTCACCAGTCACAGTCAGGTTGAACAGATGGATAGGGTGGGAGAACACGTATATCGATCGGAATCAGAGTGACAGCCCTACCACGGGAGAGTGAAGCTGGCCACAAAGTCTAATTGTTTGCAGAGGTTTGATTTGTGACGTCAAATGGCTACAGCCTTAGCAAACCGTAACAACCGACCAGTTTTCTGTTAGCCTAACACTCGGAATGCTTGCTTTGGATTGATGCAAAAGTTGCAATCAAATATATGGCGGGGAATAGAGTTGGGGGATCTTCGAGCCGTCAAGCGCTAAATTTCTCGGGACATGTTCTGAAATCCGAGTGGCCAAGCGTCTCTCAGTTCCTCGGATTTACCTGCTACCGTAAGTGTATGGAAATAAGTACAAGCGGAGGTAACCTGAGAGTTCGTATCCAAGTTGGATTCAGTGATCATGCGTCTGTTTTCATGGAGAATAATTAGCGAAGCGGCGTTCTTGAGTGAGCTTGTTCCAGCTCACCCCTCTGTTCAACCCGACTGTGACTGGTGAACTTTGACCTTAGCACTGATTTGGCCTAATCGAATGCCTTTGATGTTTAAAGATTTGTCATTGTCCTGATCGAAATTTCACATGAATGCTTGTACTCATCTGAATGGTGAAACAGTTGAATTCAACCTGACCTGCGACGATGCTTGTTCTGGCTATTCTTTTGTAGTCGTATCATTTGCATTTTCGTCTCGGCTACTCCGGAGACAGTGTAGTTGTTGGCACCAGAATGGATATTGCATGGAGAAAAGCGAATCGAGTGGACCATCAAGACAGATCGCGATTGATTATTTGGACCGTTCCGCCATGGTTCCATATTTTTACTCATCCCCATGTACTTGCTTCTCGCTGTGAAAACAGTTAGAAAACTCTCCATCAACAAGACTCATTCAAAGAAATCTAGTTTTCCTCTACCAGAGCGATAAACCCATAAAAAACACAAACGTTGCTCTACACACATGCGCGCTTTCTAGTGTGGTTTATTTCGTACAACATATTTGGCTATTCTTAGTGGATGTTTTGCATCGCAACTTGATTTTTCGCTACCGTGGCAATCTCAAACTCGTTTCATAGTCGCCCTTTTCTCATTACTTGTATAAAGTTTATCCAACAGTTTTAGCCTGCTTTTACAACCGTTAACCATGCATCCTCCTGCGCTGGTCCTGGTTGCTGTCTTTTGGCTGCCCATTTGGGTTAAAAAACAGAATGAAGATTAGAATGTTGAGAGCAGAGCCAAGGCCAAAATAGAAAATTCGCATGAACTGCGGTTGCGAGAATATTGCGTAGAGCACGAGCACCACTGTTTACGACACAGCCATATAACTCAGTGTATCTAACCACTGGTAACTATGATCCCGGGGTCCCCATCCGGGGAGCTTAACGGGACCTATGTGATCCAGACTCCTGGTTGGGGGGGGGGGTTGATACCCTCACACCAGGTCTGAGTTTGACTGCGCTTGATCATTTTCCATGTGCTGCCCGCCTCCGCAAACAGCACACGCTGTGTCAATCTATTNCCCCAACCAGCGTATTCTGTGGAGCTCGACCACTTGCTCCAGTGGACGACCGCGATTACCGAAAACTCTCCATCTGACCTCAGAACTGCTTGGCCCGTTGCCTCACCAGACGTGTGCAATGTTGCTTAGACAGCGCTGTTCGAACACCGACAATCTGTTTTTATCCTGTTCCCGTAATGCACCGAAGAGGAGCACCGGCCTAACTAGCCTAACTGCTGCTGGCAATGTCGTTTCTTGCACGAGAAGATGGTGCTTGACAGGAAAAGTTTGTGGTCCGCACAGAGTTGGACCAAGTGTTTTCCCTTGTCCGTCCGGTTAGCTGGGATTGCATGAGTACCACCAAGAAACCTTTTGTGATTCGTCTAGATTCCACTGCATCACTGAAGTCTCCGGCGAGTACCACGATGTCCGTTGGCCGAGCACTTTCGAGCAGTTGAGAGGTCCTTGTAGAATTGATCCTTCATCCTTCTGGCGAACTGCAATGGGTCGATGCATATACCAACACGATGAGCAGGCACCGACGCTGAACCATCACAAACGTATGCAAGTGAACGACGCACTATCGGGGTTTACCGGACGGGATACTTGTTTTCATTGGACACATTGGAAAAACTATACACAAGTGTACGCTATTCGCAGTTTCGACGTGTAAAACATTATTACTGAAATAGGTAATATTATGGTTCGCACGTGTGTTACAGTTGATTCAATAGGGAAAAATTACGTTACCAAAATCTGTATAACAAAAAAGCGGTCCACAATTGACTCGCAGGTAGTATACTACTACCAGGTAGCCCAGGTGAATTTTCTTGAGAAATTCACAATTGCGGGCCTTCAACTGGTCAAAAGGCTCGCCCACAAGACTGTGTGTCAGTTCATCGGATTATACGCCCGTTGAACAAAGTAGACCGTACTATAGTTCATGAACCCAACTAAAGTCCTTTTTGATCCCATCAGCGTATCACGAGGAGTTCCACAGGGATCCGTGCTGGGCCCTCAACTTTCCTTGTTTTCATAAACGACCTAACGGACATTTTCGGGCCACATTCATTAATGTTTGCAGACGATGCAAAAATATGGAAAACGGTGACAAAACCAGAGGACTCGCTAGAACTCCAAAGAACACTTAATGTTGCCTATCAATGGTCGATCGAAAATGACATGCAATTTAATGCATCAAAATGTACGATCGTATCCCTTCAACACAAAANCGTATTTCCTGGGAGATCAACAACTTCCGTACGTCTCGAATGAGAAGAATCTCGGCGTCACTGTTCAAGACGACCTAAGCTGTTCTTTAAACTGCTTCTGGGCGTCGTCTATTGCTGTAAGACATGTTGGTTTGCTAAAACGAGAATTTGGCAAATTTGAACCTATGCTGTTCCCACAATTGTTATCAGCCTACATTCGACCCCACATAGAGTACGCCATT